ACAGCCACAGCCCCTGGGACCCTCAGCGTGCGGGTTGTTAGCAAGTCTCGGGGGCTGCGTCTCCTTTTCTCTTGCCTGATGAAGAAATAAAGGGGCTCAGAAGCAGAAGTGGAGATGCACCTCTATTTGAGCTCTGGTTTTCTCTAGGGAAAAAATTTACATCCGAGTGTTTAAAACATGGTACGGTTATGACAGGGGCCAAGATGCTGTGCCTCTTGGCTCCTATTAAGCACTGCTGGTTTTGTCTCTTTCTCCAACTTGCAGGAAATCTGGTCTATCAAAGGCAGCTGAGAGCCGGAGGTGTTCTGTGTGAGAGGAGAGCAGCTTAACTTGCAGCACGGAGCTCTAAGGCTACCTGACCTTCCACTCGCATCTGGTTGCTCAGTGAATTAACTGTGCTGACCCTACTGTTGCAGGGCTGGCTGTGTGAGCTGCTTCGCTGGAAAGAAAACCCAAGTCCGGAAAACCGCACCCTCTGGGAGAACCTCTGCACCATTCGCCGCTTCCTGAACCTTCCGCAGCACGAGAGGGACGTCATCTACGAGGAGGAGTCCCGGCATCACCACAGCGAGCGCATGCAGCACGTTGTCCAGCTCACTCCTGAGCCCGTGCAGGTCAGAGCGCTGGCTTCCTTCTTGGGCTATCTCGGGGGGGTAACCACTGCTACATATTCTGCTTGGTGGGTTGAGAAACACCAGTTTTCGTTTGCCTGTAGTGCCCTGTGCACGCCGTAGCTCCCAGGTTCAGAGTTCACTCTGTGTGTGTTATGGCACCTGTGCGAGTGTGCGCAGGGTTGTGGTGGTGGTTGAAGAGAAGGGCTGTGGCAGTCGGAGCCACTGGTATCATCTAGGTCAGTAGTAGCGATGTTACGGAGCTCCCTTGCCGTCAGTAGTTGTCCTGTGCCTGAAACACAATTTAGCTGCCTAAGGCCGCTGACATTTAGTGGAGTTCAGATGCGTTCCTCAGCAGCAGCAAGAAGTGTGTGGTAATTAAGAAAGCAAACCAGGAGTAGGGACTTGATCACTTGCTCCTTTGCACAGAACCTGAGCTCCCCTGTTGCCCACTCTGTAATGGTAGCCAGCAGGCAAGTGCCGACGTACATTGGCTTTGGTTTGAAGGAGCCGCTTCAGGAAAAGTAGGAAGTTGGGAGGAGAAGGTTGTTCATGTAACACAGGTGTTTTGAAGGGTGTGACATGGAGAAGAGTGTTTTATATGTTCACTGAAACTGGAAAGTGCTTCGTAAATGACCATGGTGAGTATTTTGCAGGGAACAGGCCTTTGTTTCACGGCCTCCCCAGGATTGTTTTGCTCTTCTCCACAGCCTTTGTGACTAGTATGAGTTTGTGGTTTGTGCACCTTCATTGTGTCCTTGTCTTCAGTCTTAACAGAATGAGAAATAAATACACGTCGGGAAAATGATGTGAAGATACCACAAGATTCTTCATGTTTGCAGTTCCAACTTCAGTCAGAGGATAGTATCAGCCTTATGTGTGTTCCTAATAACTAGTGATACATGTCACAAACCCAGACCTGCAGATGTCCAGGAGAGGCTCAGGAGATGTTTTTCAGTCTGAAAAGCTGAGATGACGCCTTCCGCAGCTGGCCATCCTTTTGGCTTGCACTGGCGTTAGGTGCCACTCACCTGATCTGTTGTGTGACCACTCTCAGAGTCCTGCGTGCCGCGTTTCCCTCTGATAACCTCACAGCTCCTTCTCCCACCTTTGCTCTCCCCGTTGTCATTTGGTGACGGCTTGCGCTGCTTCGCTACCCTTGCTGTGAACCTTGGCACTCAGCCTCTATTCTTTGTCACCGCTCTTGTTCTGCTGCTGCCAGCGCTGCTGCCAGCTATCTAGTCACCTTTTTCCAGAGGCAAGAGGTTTTTCTGTCTTGTGGTCCTGCCACTTCTGAAACACGTTGGTCTTCCCCGGGTTTTGTGGCTGCCCCCTCCCTGGAGGTGTTCAAGGCCAGGTTGGACGCAGCCTTGAGCAACCTGATCTAGTGGGAGATGTCCCTGCCCATGACAGGGAGGTTGGACTAGATGGTCTCTAAGGTCCTTCCAGCCTAGGCCAGTCTGTGATTCTGTGATTCTGTCTCCTTTGTCTCTTCTGCTGCCGACTTCCTCGTTGCTTTCCGTTCGGTCTTTGCCTGGAAGAAAAATACATTTCCTGGAGTTTGGCTTCTCAGACCCAGGAAGCAGAGGAAGTGTTTGAAGTAATTAATGTTGCAAGTGATGTCTTCCACATCTCCAAAAGTTTGTGAGCTCTTGGAGGCAGGGAGCTAGGAAAGGGTGAAGGACTGAGCTAACACGGGAGGGCAACCAGACCTGTGTAGATTTGAACATACTAAACCACTTCTGATGCTCACAGCAAGTAGGAATATCTTCTCTAAGGGACAGTTTGAAGAAAAGGTTTCCCTGAGCTCTTGTGGGTGACCTTGATCATTAGCCTTGATCAAAGCCTTCTTCTGCACATCGCTTTTCTGCATCGCGCGGGTTGCGTTGGCTCTTGTGAGGCTCTTGTGAGGCTCTTGTGAGTGACACGTTACGCTGCGTTGGAATGTGATGCATTTGTATTTGTCAGCAAGTTACAAAGCCATGGATTAATTATTTATTACAGTCAAAATATGAAAAATGAAGAAAAATAAATGGAACCAGCTGGCAACTACGTACAGCAAAACTCTGGAGACCCTGGTCTGCAGTTGATACAGTAGGCTTGTGTTTTGGGGGTGCTGCATTTCAAAGCTATGTTTGCCCATCCAAAAACCCCAGCAGGTTTCCGAGTGGCAGCCTACCAGTGCGAGACATGGGAGGCTTGCTGTCCACCTGCTCCTTACTGTCAGAAGATACCTTGCACCAAGCAGTTTTTGTGTAGGTTTTGGTCTCTGGGACTTGAATTGTTTCAAGCAGCAAGGTTTGTTTTCTGGCTTTGCTGCGAGGGTCCCTGTTAGGTAATTAGCCATGAAGAATCAGTGACAGCAGGCAGAGATGTAAAGCTGAGGCCCTCGCACTTGCGGTCGTTGGAGATTTTGTGACACTTTACATAAGGGTAGGGTCTTGGACCCTGCTCCTGGCCGAATTCCAGGCCAAGTAATTACATTCTGCCTATCTGAAATTCCCCCTGTAGTGTCAAGTGGGAAAGCAGCTCTCATTTCCTCCTCAGAGCAGTGGCGGGTGTGGACTGTCTGCCACAGTGCCCGGCTGCGTTTTAGCGGGGGGTGGAAACATCCAAGAGCTGCAGTCACCGACCTCCTCTGCTTTGTAGGCTTTGCTAGTGAAAAATGCGCTGTAAGCCGAGCCCTTACCTGCAACCTTGGTGTGGAGGTGACAGCCCTCTGCAGAAGAGGCGAGCGGCAGATGCAGTGCTGTGACACAGCGGAGGCAGGAGGCTCTCGCCTCGGCTCTCCCTCTGCCCACCCCTTCCTTCTCTCCGTTCTGATGGATTCGGCGCGTGCACGGTAACTCGTGGCTGATGCTCCAGTCTTCTGTTCCTCCAGCCATGGAACTGGGAGAGCCTGAAAACAGGCTGGCCCGTGCTCCTGCCAGAGCTCTCTGCCACCACCATCGAGCCCTCGGGGCTGGGGACACCCCTCTGTCAGACTGAACAACTTGGAAAAAGAAAATTTTTTAAAATTTTTTCTTTTTTCAAAAGAAGATCCTGGCTGTGATCACCAGAGGCATGACCAGGCACAAGATAACGGATAAATAAGTCTCACTGTTTTCCCTGGCATGGCTACTTGGAAATGACAAAGATTTCGTGGTGGTGGGTTTCATGTAGTTGGCGTGCTGGTTGCAGGATCGGGCGTCAGGCCGAGGCCAGGTGTGGTTTCTGTCCCCGTGGGGCAGGCTGCGCGCAGTGGGACAGCTGTTGTGGTGCTGCAGGACATCAGCTGGACACAGCTCCGCTCTTGAGACCGAAGGGATTACTGTTTCTTTTGTGGGAGGTTCTTGCCCTCTGTTCGGCATTACTGGCCTGTACCTCACTGCTTAACTCTAGGATTCAGGGCTTCAAAAGAAACATTTTCATTTTTTATCTCTTCCATTAAATTTTTCCCATCAGGCATGTATATTAATCCATTTAATCAAATATTTTCCTGTTTCTGAAATGAAAAATGTCTATGGTGGAAGCTCGGCGCACGAGAAATTCCTCCCTGTGCACTTGATTTATTTGTTATTGTGCTGGGGAGTCATAAAATGTGAGCCCTGTGGAGCTGTGTGACATGGCTGTGTTCTCTGGCAGCGTCGGGCGTGACCATATGGATGTGCCGGCGTGCAGATTTTCTTCCACATGCTGGTTGCAGAGCATCCACGCTACACCTACATGTTGCTGTGCACGCGTGCTGAGCTCTCCACAGCCGCTCGCTTGGTTTTTAAGGAGACTCAGGTGTACGTGAACTTCTCCCTCCCATTCTGTGCAGCAGAATTGGGCTGCTGTAGGCTGGAGGGAAGACCCGTGAGCTCCTTGCTCGCTGGACACCGCCTCTCCTTGCATGTCAACGTGGTGTTCAGGGACGTGGTTTAGTGGTGGACCTGGCATCGCTAGCTTAACGGTTGGGCTCAATGATCTTGAAGGTCCTTTCCAAGCTACGCGATTCTGCGATTCTCTGATGCACAGAGTGCTTGACCCACAGCTCCAGGTTAGAGTTTTTGTCTCTTCTTCCACCACCATCAGGTGAGCGATCCTGGCCAGCCCTTTGGCGCGGCTCTCGCGGGTCTCTTGGGCAGGCTGCAGCAAGCAGTCCTCAGGCTTCCCGCGGAGCTGCGGGTACCCTGTCTTCCTTTCCATCCCTCACCGCATCCCGCTGTTCCCGGGCTGGTGGCTGGCGTTGGGCCTTTCTGGAGCGTTAACCCTGGGCCGCTTCCCGTTGCCAGCCAGGGATTCGGTGTTTGTTACAGGAGTGCTGGGGCACAGTAAATCTAATTTCTCTCCCTTCTCCCACTGTTCGTCTGCTGTGTCCAAGATGACCACTCCAGAGAATAACCGTCTTGCCTGGCACTTTAATGTAGTGCTAATTCAGTGTTAATTGCTGGGGCAGAGAAACCTGGCTCGGTTGGGAGAACGATGAATCAAGCTGTTATCTCTGGAGTGTTTGGGTGAATAAGCGGGTTCTCTGGAGTAATGAGCCACCACCACAGCGAAGTACTTGCAACTGAGAGAGTGAGGAAGGCTTGCCTTCCCTCTCCTGCCCAGGCTGACAGATAGATCTGCCGAAGCTGATAGGTACATACTGATTTAATAGCAGTCAGATGTTGACTTTAAAGAAACAGGAATGGTTTTCCGCAGGCTTTCGGATACACTGTTACTTCTGTCACTTTTCTAGAATGACATCCCTCCGCCCTTTTTTTCTCAGAAGCTTTGATTTAGACAAACGTGGCAATTTATAGTAGTTCAGATCATAAATCATAGAGGAACATTAGTAAATAAAAGAAGGCATGGCAGAAAGCTGTAGGAAAGCTCTTTTGTATTGTGTGTTCACTGCAAACATTGTGGTCTCTCTTTAAATATGCGGAAAACAACATACCACAGAAGTAAATGAAATACTAATTTTGTCATTTTGTGAGGGGTGGAAGGGAACAAATATTTTAGAAATGACAATGAAATACAAAACAGCAGAACAT